TTGGAATTAGTGCCACAACACTATACCAAGAGGAAATGGAGAAGAAAAAACGCACTGTTTTGGGTAAAAAGTTACAGACAAAAATATAATCACATGTCGCTGTTGAAAGAATTAAAGGAGAACTATTCTGATAACTTCTCGTACCCCTCATTTTTAAAATGTTTATTAGTATACACAAAACTCTTCAGCATCCATAGACTCGGGCATTCCCTGTGTATGGAAGGAAACTCCCTCACCATATCCCGGCTTAAGCAATAAGTACCCGCTATTTCAAAATACCGCCCGGCTGGTCACTATGTCCACTCGCAACTAAACTCCACGTGTAAATGCGAGCCACGCATTTGCTCGCAGCATTCCGAACCGCGCTCGTGCGCGCAAACCGAACTTCCCTTTAGACATGAGTTCTGAAACGTGTACCTGAGTGACTCGCCGCCCGGCACGAGTTCATGAGCGATGGTGTAAGGCCGCCTTATGGGCCTCCCTCCTAACTTCTAAACGGTTCACGATATCGAAATACAGTTTTCGCTGAAGAATGCGGAATCTTGGGGCAAGTAGCATGCCGTAGAGAAGTTGAATATAATATTTTTGGTTTCCAGGAATTTAATCATCTTTGATTTTTTAAATGGAACTAAACATTTTTCTCACCAGAAATGGATAGATAATGAAAATAGGAATACAATGATGCATCATATGTTAGCATTTTGATAGTAATTTGAGTATAAAATTAGACTTTCTCACATGTGATTTTGAATTAAACAGGCAATATTTTCTATAGCAGCCCTAACGCAAGAGTTTTTCTATCGAAGATTCACTGCTTTCCAGCGCAGGATTCCTATATTTCCTTTTCTTACAAAGGATGAGAAAGTAAAAAGGTGGACACATCGAAATATCTTGGGTACTTACATCACCAGTCACCTAAAACAAGACAATAAAAATACAATATGCCTGTGGTTTAATACTTTCAGTTAAGAACTGTAGCTTAAAATTGAGACAGAAAATGATTTAAAGTTACATATTGAGTGTAGAAGCACGCTCAGATGCTGACAAAAAGTTTCCAAAGGGGTGCACCAAGAGGGAATGGCCCATGTGTTTATAAGATGGGCTTGGTGAAGTAACAAGATAGGCCACTCAAACCTTGTTTAGACATAAGGCCATTTGTGTTTTTTGAAATATTCTAGTTATACATTTCATCAAAAAAGTTTTTACAAATTTAATTTTCCATTCATAATTTTATGCATTTTGTATGAGCTTGGGTTCTACTTCAACTATTGTCAATATTGCATGTTCCTTGATACTCAACCAACAAATCTTTCAGAAATTGATCTTTACTACTGAAAAGAACAATTGTAAAATTACTGCCTTGGTACTGCCACTTACAAATGGAACAATTATGTGAGAGAGACATAGTGAAAGAGGACCTGAGGCAAATGAAATTTCATCAAGAGAAATAAACTCCACAAATAAATACTCTTGATTTACCAAGTGTTCACTTGAAAAGGACCCTGAAAATTAAGACTTCAATCCACTGCAGAAGTTTGCATCTGATATTGTGGAGTAAAATTTATAAATTGTCTTCAAGGGTTTCTATTGAAAAATGTACTGTTACACTACCTACATACCTTGAAAACTTCCAGAAGTAAAGTTTCTTGGGATCCAATTCAATTACCATACAATACTAACTACATCCCAAAATTTGAAAATTATTAAAATTAATTTTCCAGCAATAATTTTTCAAATCAATTTCTTTTTAAAGACTGCAATGACCAACCAAGATCTTTGTAAAAAATGGAATAATTGAAACTCTCGAATACAAATTGGATCAAAAACAAATGACTTCCATCACACCACCATACATCCCACAACTTATGATTTCATCACCAGGCATTATAAGTTTTTTTTTTTTTTAATAACTCTAAAGGTCTAATTTAGCACATTAATTTTTTTCCCCTAGATTAAAAATGAAATTAAGTTTAAATTTCAGAATTTTATTTTCCATTAACCTTGAATGGCATTAAGAATCCAATTAAATTGACAAATCAACTGTGAACTGTTTGTAACTTGTGCACAGCAACAAAAAAAATGCAAGTATACTAACAGCCACCTTTTGACAGTAAATAAATTGTCAAACTTTGTTGAGAATGAAATTCTCAATATTTACACTTTCTTTGAATGACAGACTAAAGTGAATACTAGTTATGTCACAAAATAAATCTCATTTCACACTTCTATCATTTTGGTCCAGATGTCTCCTTTATAGTCTGTCATCTGTCCACACCAAATATCATTTGTAATGGCAAAGAAATTCATATGCCATACACTAAATATTGAATACTTCTCCAGAAAAAAACACTGATGGAATTATGAAAATCAAATGACGCTAATTCTTTTAGAAAGATCAGAAAACTATGTTCAAAGGAGATAAAAAAAAAAATTCTTTCACCCAACTAAAGATTTGATAAGAATGAAAAACAACATTGCTTTTAAAAGTACAATATGCACTCTTAAATAGTTTACTAATTTTGTGATTTTCCAACGTCACATTGTAATAAATATTTTCTTTTCACGACAGTGGCAAATTGAATTTGTAAAAAAATGGTTGGTCCAAAAGCTGAATACAACTGACAATTATTGGGTCAGTTATGTCAAGAATTGTCATGACAGGATATGGTGGGGATGAACATCCACTGACCTGGGACTTCCAATATCAGGAAAATACCATATGATTAGTAACCGAATACAAAGACAAAGACAGACATTACCATACCTATGGCTTGTATAGGATTTGAACCTGCAATGCTCGACTCCTCGTAGTTGAACAACGCTTCCAACTCTCCAAATTCCTATGCAACCAGGATAGGCAAAAATTATTAAATATTCCAAGGCATCTCAATAAAGAAAGTCTTTTATTTTTAATAACATACCTTTCCTTGTCATTCAAATATTGATGGACCTCCTCAGCACTCATATTTTCAAAGATACACTGGAATCCATGATTTGGAAAGTCCTTCATAATTACTTTAGTCCTTCATTATTGCTTCTGATAAAGGAAAAAGTTTTCCAGAGTAGGCAAAAGAAACATTACATGGGGGCTAGGTTTAGACTGTTGGAAGGATAAGAAATATACTTCACAATTATTTCCAAGAGGATCAGCATTTGTGGTATGCAACATAGTGCAGCATCCAGCCTGTTGCTTTCAGATGTGGTCTTTGGAAATCAAGATTGACATGGAGAATTTTCAGTATATGCACACTGCTCGCGAGTATGTTGGCATGACATGACAATTAACCATTTTCTAATTTCTTTTTAATTCATTTTAAAAGATGTATGGACCATAATTTTCTTTACTGAAGGCACTGCTTAATTTTGACACTGGTGATGCCAGAAATTTTCACACAGATTTACTGATTGCTCTAGGGGTTAATATCTCAAGTTTCATTTCTGTTGATAATCATACAAAATAACTCTTTACTTATAACAGCTTTAAATGCCAAAATTTTGTTGTTCAGGTATGAGCAATCTTTTACCCTACCACAGTATACACTAACACATCTTTTATGCAGTTTTTCAGTTACAAATAGAACCAAAGAAATGTTCACTTCCGAGTGCTTTTGACATTGTAACAACAATTGTTTACCATGACAACTACAGTTGCATTGATTTCAATGGAAATTTTGAGGAATTCTACAATTTAGAAGGAACACACAAAGAAAAAATCTTCCACAATGCAGGTATTAAAAAATAGTACATTAAGTTTTAAAAAACAGACATGTTTTACAGAAATATCCCTAAAACATGTCTGTATTTTCAAAGCCATCATCATTGATTCTTATCATCCATTTACCATTATCAGTGTTTTTGTCATCAATGTGGAATGAAGTTTAAATTGAGATAAAAGTACATTTTTGAAATTTGTTCCATGTTACTATTATTTGATATATGTTGTAAAATCATTGATTGGAAAATATCCCTGAAAGATATCTGATCAAGGATAGAGCTTATTGCAATTTATAAGTAACCATCAACACTCAATCTACCATTTCTGGAGAAGAAATTACTCCCCAGTTCTGCATCAAACCGATTTAAGACCAAACAAACAAGAGTAGTTTAACACATAAGAACAGATTAATGAAACACATTATTACAGGGATACCAGTTCTGGGCCATTTGTGAGGCCACCAGTTCTGGGAGAAGAATTGGGAACATGATATGGAGGGAGACAGGTGGAGGCCCGAGTTATGTTTCTTTAACAAAATGAGACTTTTTGAATCTTCAATTGCATTTTTAGATAGCTCTTCAGGGGACTCATACTAAGTAGTGTGGGTTGTCAGGTATGAGCAGTAACTCTTAAATCAATTTAAAATGAATTGAAGGAATAGAGGCAGAAATATTCAATGAAATTTGAACTTCTGTGAAATTTAATCTCAGTGGTTAGTGAAGTGAACTTGTCTCAACTCTCTCATAACTGTACTTATAATGCTGGAACAGTTCAAGGGCTGAACATTCAAATTACGATACAGAGTGCAGCTATTTTCACTTTTAAAATAATGATTTGCAAAGTATGGAATATATATACACCCTTGCCATGCTTCAAAAACTGAAAATATTTTCACACAACACAAAATGATAGTTATATATATTGCTATATATGCTATAAATAATTCTTAAATAACAAAATGTTCCTTCAAGTTTATATCAAAATAGTTTCTAGGTTCCACCCCCCCCCCCCCCACACACACACACACATATATTGGTGTATAATGGGTTATCAGAATGGCATTCGCGTGCGACTTAATACCAACAATTGTGAAAGATTATTTCTTTCTCCATACCTTTTAAGACTGCCAATGTTAATTCATACTCCTGCGTGAACAATGTTTAGATTTCCCCATCCTCAGAAATTGTTCATCGCTCTTCTTTAAATATTTGAAACCATTCATTTTTCTATTGGAAAAAGCTCTTCTAAATTTTATGAACAAACTTGTTGCCATACTTACAGTTCACACAGTATTTCACAAATTTTAATGACATTTCATTAACAACCAACCAAACAGTTTACAACCAGACACACCAAAACATGCCACCTTAGCACCCTGAGGTAGCTAAACAGAAAGGATGTCTGGCAGACAAGGATGCATGATTAAAACATCAATATATATGTATAAGTAAAAACTAATTCTGACAATTTCTAAGTGTTATATTTTTATTAAATGTTTCTTGTACAACAGAATTGTAAACATTGCAGAACTTTTAGAAATATGCATGAACAAAATTCTCAACCAATAACGTTCCATTCACAGTAATTTACATTAAAACTGTGGCATCATCCTCTTCCAGAATTTAAATACTCTGATAACTACAGTAAGAGGATGAACACAATTGCAATGGTATAGTCAAATTAAATTAGCTTATTTAAAAATGAATAACAGTGATGTCTACTGCAATTCATACAAGTTTTGTTTATTTTATTTATTAAGCTCACAAGAAATGTAACTTGTATATTGCAGTAAACAGAAGTTGCAGACAGTACATAGAGTGCAAGGAGTGGTATTCACCACCTTTGAATAGAACTGCTTCAACACACCCCCTTACTGTGCAAATTACATGGTGAGTGTCTCAAAACATTGGCACACGTCTCTGCAGGATGCAGATCTGGCACTAACTCTTCAGCAGGGTAATCATTCCATAAAAAAATAGACAAGCACAAATTGCACAAAACTCCAGAAATGCATGTTCATTTGTGGCTAGAATTGTAGCAACTTCTCATATAGAATTTTTGCCCAGATAAAAATATTCTGCTCAGAGCCAGCAACCTATTCACTAGCATAACAGCCTTCTTCCACTACAAAGCAAGCATTATGTCCAGGACCAGCCCTGGAATGATAGGAAAGTCCCTGCACACAATTCATTAACCCTTGGTGTATTCCTGATAGGATACAAAAACATATTTAAATAAAACCCTCTTCACACAATCCACTTTCTCACCCATGCCCATTTGTTAGGACCTTTTTCAACCACCAAGACCTAATATACAGAAGTCATACAAATAAAATATATTGTCCTTCAAGAATTAGTCCACAATGAGTTTTCACAGCTTTGTTCCATTGAATTCTCAGACATGGATTATATTTAAGAATATAAACAGCGTTTATTTAAATTTTCTTTACTTTCAATTAATGTTCTAACTTCTCTCGTACGAGTTCTATGCATCTTGATTCAACATCAACGATCAAAACAAAACTCTGTTGAAATGAAAACGTTGAAGATGACAATTTACTGAGAATCTGTGGAACACATGAAAAATTGTGGGGTATGTGATCACGGAACATTTCTGAAAACATTTTTCACAAGAAACATCTATATAAGCACCAAGGCTACCAACTTCTTTGATCTAGTGTAACTTCAGTACATCTAGATCATATTTTTCATGCCAGAAGTAGTTTCAAAAGCAAATAATCTCCTTATAAACTGGGTGACAGAATGGATCACATAAAGTGGACTTTACTCTTGTTTTAACAGATATGATAGCTTTTGCCTGTCTTGAGACACTTGATCTCGCAAAGCTATAGCAGATGAATGTGATGACAGTTCAAATTTAATACAGTTAAGAGAAACAAAAAACAATGTCACATAAGAAACAACTTTTCGTTTGTTGCATCGGAGAACAAGATTTATTACACGTTTAAAATACACAACAACACTTTCAGATACAAACACAAGACATAGTACGATTAAACAAATTATACATATTTATTCAAAAATATCTTATTAATTTAATTAATTTATTGAATTAATCAATAAATTCTTTTAATAATTAATTTATTGAAGTGATGCAACGTATAGGGATAAGAAAAGGCACAAGAAACAACTTACAAGTTTCCAGTTGAGATATGGAACAAAGTACTCTTTGAAGACAAAACTGCTATTGAATTGACTTACATCAACTCTACCATGACCAGTTAACTGGGTTTCAATCCTGATCCCCCTCCCAACTTCTTCCTTCCCCCAAAATGGTATCATGCATGCAGGCACAAAGTTCAATACACTTCATCCTCAGGTAGAGCATCTTGCTCATCAGGAGGAGCAAAACCATCCTGCAACAACCACATTATTGGTGACAATTTCTGAAGAATATGGAATTATATTAACATGATCAATTTTTCACAAGTGACACCAATTTGCCCAAAAAGTTTGTTTAAAAAACACATTTGCAATTAGTTTAAATAATTAAGGAGCATGTTGATACCAGAAATATTTTATTTATCATACTTAAATATTAGAAGGGATCTACCACACCAGCGATCTAATTAATAATTAAGGAGCAACTCTAATACATTAATTAACCTTTCATACTAAGGCAACAACTTATATGAACTAAAAATATTACTACTGCCACTTGCACACAAAACTAATAGTTTAATAATGAAATATGCTCTTATTAAACACAGATAAATCTTATATCTAAGGATAATAGTGTTTTTATTAAATATTCAATTTTTCATTTTCCAAATTATAAGACTGTTTTTAAATAATGCATTTGCATTTTAATTATGTTTTTTTAATTAAAGGACTACCATTAAATGATCTTCATTTTCAAATTTCATGAGAAGCTCCACCATGAATAACAATACTTTAAGGGTAAGTACTTATACTTCATTCATCAGTGTTTAGGAAACCCTTCACCTACTAAGGTCTTTCAGACCCAAGAATGAGGAACTAATGAGTGAATGATAGTGATAATTTGAATAAAATGATGAGCAATGGGAGGAGATGTAGTAGAAATGAAAGAACCATAAGAAAACCTACAGAGAGCATACTGTGTCCACTATCAATTACACATGGATTGCCAGAGTGATTGAAACAAAGCTCCAGTAGTCGATAGCGTAAGTATTACTCATTAAGCTACAAGCCCTCAGCTAATACAAATACCTATAGGAAAAAAAATCACTCTGAACTACCACAAAGGCAAATATAACAAATGCAACACAAAGGGAGGGAGGATATTTAATGAAACTTCGATTTCTAATTGGAAGTCATATCCAAGTTTTTCTGGTCACACAATTTTAAAGATAAGTTTCATATTTTTTGGGGGTTTGTAAGAATTAAATTATTATATCTAATTTCAAATAATCAATTGTAACCAACTTAAAACTTTTGTTTTAAACAACAAATTCCTAAACTTTAAAAAAAATACAAGTTTGTATATAAATGTTAAATAAACAACACTTACAATATATAAATTAACCAAACAAATAGTTACTTTCTCATTTTTTCATAGAGATGTCAACTTAACAAGGGTTTTTCCTTTTCAACATTTCTACATTTTGATGGGGGTACCTTCTTTTCTATACAAACTTGGTGACCAATTTTTTCAAATCATTCATTTCATTTATCATCTTTATAAAGAGATGATAAAGTACACAGGCTGGATGCAACCCTTTTGGGCCGGTTGCATAAAGTTTTCCATATGGGTTCTATAGCTATGGGTTCAATAAAATGTATAGGTTCAATAGGCTGTGCACCGTTGCATAAAGCGAATTTATGGAATCTAAGTACAGATCCCAAGAGAACTTCGAGATGCAACCAATAGGTAGCAACACAGTCGATATTTGAACATTACTTATTCCTTACAGCATTTTGCATGTTCTTAGCAGGTGTTGCGTTCTATTTAGGTGTTTTCGGTTGTGTTTTTTATTGCGTTCTGAATAGCAATTTCATTTTATTTCATTATTTTCATTTCAGTTGTTTTTGTGTTTCATTCTTATAGTATCTTATAGTATTTTAAATACAATAAATTCTTTATATTAGCCATTGCCCATTTGTATTTAAATAAATTAATGTACCTTCCATTCTGAAATTTAAATATTAATTTTTGCTAATACAACTAATAATTAAATTAAATTAATGAAGAACTACTATTCAAATCCCTTTGAAATACAAAGTAATAATTAATTTGCTATCTAAACAATTAAGTATACATATTAATACAAGTAGAGCCCAGAAGTTAAGGCAATTAATTTGCCAAATATAGGCAGGCAATAAAGCACTAAAATGTCATGAGCTTTAAAAAAAAATCACAGGGTAATCACTAAAATTATTCAAATTTTATTTGTAATACTGAAAACACTAGAACTTACAAGGAAACATTTTCATCCTTGGTTCGTCAATAAAATGTGTAATATTTGTTTGTTATCTATTTATTGGAAAGAAATCATTTCACAACTGAAAATTACTATTTCTGACAAACCAAATTTCAACATGACTGCAAATTAAATTCACTTATGATTCTACAAAGGGTTAAGTGTGAGCTGAACTATTCTGTTACGAATCTTTAAATTTTAGCACAATTGAAATACTATTGTTTTCATTCGTTACACTCATTTATTCACCAGTACATGATACAATCTGGCATTATTGTATCATGTACAAAGTGTCGGTCCTCAAAAGGGAGTGGATGCCACACACAAGCATTGGATGGAAATGGATTGATATTGGTTCTTGGTGAAAAAGAATTCAAAAAAGGAAGAAGACAAAACATTATAGCAAAAATTAGCATATTTTCATAACCAAATTTAATTCTTACTTATCATCACAACACATGCAAAAATGTGAATAAAGAATTTACCGATATTCAACGCATACAAATACGCCTAAAACGCACACAACACGCCAAATAAAATTCGTAAATGCCACAAAAACAATGCAGCACAACACGGACATCAGGTACCACCAAGGACCCATAAGTTATACAATCCTTATAGGTTCCGTAAGTCTTATTGGGTGTTTTAGAAGCAAATTTTGCCACAATAGACTATTTTATAAAACCGATAAGTTTGTGGATCCCATATTGAACATTTATGCAACCAGCCCTTTATTTGGAAAATGTCCACAAACCAGCTTATGCACTGTAATTTTTTTAAAGCAACAAGATTTTCACTATGAATCTTAATGATTCATTATCAGCGCTCCTTTACAGAATGTAGTATTTCAATACAAGAGTATCAAAAGACTGAACGAAGACTAAGTTATTAGATTGTCTAGTTGCGTCAAGAAAATGTTGAGGAGAGAGAGAAAGTGGCGGGGAGAGAATGGTAGGGAGAAGGAAGAAAAAAGAAGAGGAAGAAGAGGAAGAAAAAAGAAGAAGAGGAAGAAGAGGAAGAAGAAAAAAAAGAAGAGGAAGAAGAGGAAGAAGAAAAAAAAGAAGAAGAGGAAGAAGAAAAAAAGAAGAAGAGGAAGAAGAGGAAGAAGAAAAAAAGAAGAAGAGGAAGAAAAAGAGAAAGTAGAAAAAAATAGAAAAGAAGAAAAAAGTGCTAGTGTGACAAAAGTAAACAAACCCAATACATTATTAAAAAATTAACTTACTTCAACAGCATACAGGATGTCTAATATCTTAGCCACAATTGGATTTTTTTCATTATCATCTTCTTGACACATCAGCTCTATATCTCTAAGCTTTCCAAAATAAAAATCTCTTTCTTTCTCCAATCCACTCATGGTCAACTTCAAATCAACCAGCTAGAAAATAGAAATAGACATTTCAAAAAATTATCTTCAATTATACCAAAATGCAACAACAATACAAACAAACTCAAAAATAATGGCCTTTAAATAGGCCAGCCACATAACAAGGAAAACAAATATGTTCACATATATTCATGTAACATATCAAGTTGTACATGCTGAAGAGACTGAATTAATCTTTTCACACTTTTACCAGCACATCACATTCATTACAATCGCATCATTATTACTAATGAAATGAAAATGTGCACGTTATAATCAGCCCAGGAGTAACAATCTTTTGGCAAGTCCAATACATGGTATTCTAGACATTTCTGAACTTATCACTCATGTTCTGGAATTAGTAATTTTACCACAAAGAAAACAAGAAGTTTTAATGAATATTATTTAATACAGGAACAGCCGGAATATCAAAGAGCAAATAAATCTACAGTCCATTCTTTCATGATTTTTTCTCTTGGCACATTATTTGAGTTATTGCATTTTTGAAAAATGCTAACATAGAACCAAACTCGTTATTAGCATCACAGTTAATCTGTAAACCATAATTTGAGTATTCACATTTTTATGCCAACACTAAAAGATGTGCTGCAGTTGCTAAGCAACTAAACCTATAAAGCAATGTAGCGAGATATTTCTAGATGAGCTCAAACCAACAAAAAAGATCTGTTCAGTTAGTGCTGTGAAGCAGATGGTCGCTTGTTTGTTTGGTTGAACTGGACATGTCCCTACTGTGGTATTAGAAAACAGTAATTTTGGATTGTTACACCACAATTTGTTTGCCGGAAGCAATCGATGGGATAAGAAAAAATAAATAAAATAGGCCTCTCAGTCTTCATGATAATTATCAGTGCCCATTTGGCACTCACGCCATAGAATTTTCAGCAAGTTAAATTGAAGAAATTATGACTTATTGTTTAAATTCGCTGGATTTAACCTAATTGCTTTTTTTGTATCCAACAATCACATTAAAACGCTTGGGGAGTGATTTTAGCTTCCTGAAGAAACAGTTGAAACATGCTAAACATTGGTTTCCACAGTACCTGGTGTAGAGCGGACAAAGAGTTTTACAAAGTGGTTTGAGCGTACACAACAATGCATTAATACTAAAAGCGAATATTTCAAAAAAACAATAGTCATTTACCAAATTTTGTTGATTTTTCCGTCACTTCCAGAAACTTGCACAGCAATCCTCAAATCAATCCCTTTGTTTCCCTGAGATGTTACCGTACATCAAAAATTTCAAGAAATCTTTTGAAAATGGCATGACTTAAGTCAGATCAATCGGGAAATATTCATTTAGGAAATGTCCTATGAATAGTTTAAGTACTAGAGGGGTTCAGATGGATAGACATTTGGAGGGGGAGTACTGCTGTACCATTTGGAAAGACTGAATCAATCACTCTTTTCATAGGCACATAGAGATCAATGATTGTGGTGGATACATGGTGATAGAAAGTATTGACAACATATGTGAAAATGTTTTGAGTTTTTAAGTACGAACAGCAATTACCAAAATACTGCACAATTGGCTGTGCAAAAATCACTGAAGTCATAATCGTAGATCCAGTCACAATTAAAATCAAATTACAGTGTTGGGTTTAATTACGTTTGGTTTCTAAAACTCTCTCCTTTTATAGTATATCTTCTCTGCCCCCCCCCTTCAATAGTTTCCTTTTCACCACTTCCAATAACCAAATGTGAAATGAGCATTATTGTATTTAACATCAACATGAAGGTAAAATATCGTAAAAAAAAATATCACTAGGCCCCATATGTTTAACCTAAAAAGTAAAAAATTGAGCGAACAAGTTCACTTCCTCATTCAGTAGTACATCTAAAGCATGTATCTTGGTATGGATTGAATTGTATAATTCTGCAAAATATCTAGAACATAATTCAGACACTCAGGGGCTTGGTTCCGTAAAAGTCATTATGTTACGTTTCTATCAAAAAGTCCGTCCGTCCTTCCATCTTTCTGTACAACACACAAGGGCATAAACTGTACACAGGATTTTTACTAAACTGGAGATTGCCCAATTGAACTGAGAGCGTGTGAATTTGAAATTGGCTAAAACTGAATCAACTGAATTTGAAATCTTTGAGATATTTACAATTAAGTCAATATACAATTTTTCTCGAAAATTTATTCATTAAATTTTATTTTCAAATAGGACAAGCTGTTGAAGTATAGGTCTCATTTTCCTGAAAACACAATGAAATTTCAACTTCTTTTTGAATTTGTTGTAAACCTTCAATATTGTTGGTCAGGTGACGACAATTTGGGAGAGTTTACTTCCCACTTTCGAACGTTTCCCTAACATTTCAGGGCAGTAATATGAACCAATATTCACTTTTTGTAAGGAGCATAGTGGTACACCCCCCCACACACACACACACACATTCAGACTCCCTCCCCCCCATTCTCTCTTTCTCCCTTCCCTCTCTCTGAACTTTAGCCGCTCCCATGCATCCCAATTTATTTTATTTTTTAAACTAAAAAATATGGTAAGTTATACTTTGCGTGATCCACAGATGAAGCAACAGATTGAATAAAGGTAACTTGGCCTCCCTAGCTTGCTTTTTTTGAATTTGCTTAGGCAGTCTGAAAACTGATTTTCTGTAAAAATGTTCTTAATCACACATCTTAGGCTTTTCAGAACATTGAAAAGAGTTCTGGCACAATAATTTCGAATTTCATTCTTTTTATCTTTTACGAAACATATCTTAATCTTTCCTATTTTAAGGATGAAGAATTAAGTTACAAAGGCAATAAATAGCAGGTGTATCTATAATGCTTAGTGATGTTGGCGGATGTATTCTTTGGATCCACTGCGAACTTGCAGGGCGATCCAGACTAATATTTTTGAACGGGCCAATGAAAAAATTAACCTTAATACATGTATGCATTGTTCACCAAACTACAGAAACAAAATTTTCTAGCAAAAACTTCCAAAACTTGCCACTCTTTCCAGAGTTAAGACACCCTCAAAACAAAATTTTTGAATTCTGAGTTCACAACTATTATGTGAACACTACATGATACAAATTTCAAGTATATGCTGTTAATGAACGTGAAAGCACCGATTAAAAATCAGGCCACAAACATGATTGTGACAGGAAGGAAAAACTTGTGTTTCAAATAAAAATTATCTTAGGGGGCATTAGAAGAAAGATGAATCCAAATTTAACATGCGAAAGTTTCAGGAAAATCTAAAGCCTATTAGGGAAGAACTTGGGACATGGGAGGAGAGCCCAAAAATAAATAAATAAATAAAATATAATAAAAAAAGAGACAGACAGAGAGAGAGAGAGAGAGACAGACAGAGAGAGAGAGAGAGA